ATCCAAATACTTGTCTATGGTTTCGTCTTCACCTTGCCTTTGTTTTTCGAAGCGCATCATCGCTTGGTGTCCTTGCATCCCTGAGGCAAAACGATTCAACGGGATTTCGAAAAATTTCTCGGATGTGCCCCGCTGGTATCACGTTTTGGCCATCACGCCATTCAGGGCTGTCCCTTCTAGGTTGCTGGTGAGTGCACTGCATTCTTGTCTTTCCGTCAAGTCTTCTTCCTCGAAGTGCAGCTTTATGACTTCTATCCAGGTGTCTATACAGCCGTCAGAATAGTTTTTATAGCATCTTGATTTGTTAAATACCCTTCTGGACTTTTCGCTGCGTTCACTGGTTATAGATAACCTCGCGAGGAAAGTTTCTAAGGATCTGTTCAGTGGTTCAAACGCTGTGGCTATTGCCGTTGAATCACGCGAATGTCCCGCTTGATCGTTATTATCCGTTTCCCTTCTATCCGAATCGCTGGGCTGAGATCTTGGTTGATTCGAGTGGTTCCAGGATGTGGGTTCATCTCTTCCACTCGCACTCGCCTCTCGCAATATTCGTTCGCACGAGATCGGCCTGCTGCCAGTAGAACCTCCTCCAGTATTCGTTGGACCCCCCTGCCTGTTGTCACCGGTGCCATTCTGGTTGAGTTGCCCCACCCTCTTATGGATCCATGGGTCCTTCCTCTGTTAGGGCGGTCGTTAAAGTTCACTCTCGGCTCCCTGTTAGCCTCTCTCGAGTGTGCTCCTCTCTTCCTAGAAGTGCTCCAATTTCCCATGAGACTATCCAACCTAGCTTGAGTGCGTCTTTCCATCATTGCGTCGTTTCTTGTGTCAAGAGTCTGCTCTTGCTGACTTCGTAGTTGTTCCAGATCACCTCTCAAACGTCTCTCTCTTTCCTCAGCCTCCCTCGTCATTCGTGTCAAGTTTTTGACCTATCACTTATCCGTCCTTTCTTCTTAGCGTTTTTCATTTCTACTCACTTACTGTCTGTTGCAGTTAATTTCTTCCCGCAGGTTTTCTCTCTCAACGTTAACTGCTCTCTCTAGCTCACTCATTCTTATTGACTTCTGTTCACTCTGCTCACCCATGAGGTCCACAATCCTGGTCAAGGCCTCTTCCATAGCTCCGTCGCTCCGTTGTCTACTAATGGTGTAACTAGTGGTGGCGTCTCCTTATTGGTTCCTGGCAGTTTAATGCTGGTCGAGGTACGTGCTTTACCTTTCTATAACGATGTTTCTTCATAATTCTTCTCTGGTTCCGCTGGTGTGATTCATGGCCCTGTTTTCCTATCCCTGCTGGACAATCCTTGCTATCCAATCTGTCCATGATAGCCTGAGTACGCCTTTCTAACATCGCGTCTATCCTTGTATGAGATTCCCAAAAGTCTGCTCCTGTTGACTTCGAAGTTGTTCCAGGTCACTCTCAAATGACTCTCTCTTTCCTCAACCTCCATTGTCATTCGGGACAAGTTCCTGGCCAAGAACTTGTCCGTTTTTTCGTTCAGGCGTTTTCGCTACTTTTAATTTCTTATCCGTTGCGGTTTTGTTCCTCCCGCAGGTTTTCTCTCTCAACATGAGTTGCTCTTTCCAGTTCACTCCCTATTATTGACATCTGTTCACTCTACTTCCACAATCCTGGTCAAGGCCTCTTCCACTGATAGACCATTGTCAACCAATCGAGTTACCAGCGGTGGTATCACTTTGTTCGTTCCAGGCAATTTAGTGCTGGTCGAAATTCGCGTTCTACCTCTCCGTTTTGATGGCCCTTCGTATTCCGCCTGTATCTCCACTGATGTGGTCCCTGACCTTGTGGCCGTATTCATTCCTGATTGTACGTCTGAGTTAGGTCATTGTCATGATTTCTCTTGATGGTTTTATTCCATCAATAGTTTTACTTATCGCTCTGACCGCATTAAACTGATCAGAATGGCCATTTACCATGTTTATGGATTAGTCATTTTCATGAGTCGAACTGTTCAGGCAAACTGTGGTCCCTGACCTTGTGGCCGTAGTCATTCTTGATTGTACGTCTGAGTTGGTCATTGTCATGAACTCTCTTGATGGTTTTATTCCATCGATAGTTTTACTTATGGTTCTGACCGCATCAAAGGGATCAGAATGGCCATTTACCATGTTCATGGATTAGTCATTTTCATGAGTCGAACTGTTCAGGCTTTCTTGAGATTCAAGTCCTCCGTTTCTTCCTTGTTCTCTTCCTCTTATTGGGTGTCTACTTCGTCACCTGTTCTTGTTCCCCTACTAAATGAAAAAAAAAACTCCCAGAGTGTTCTTGACTCGTTCCGAAAACGAGGAGAACGTTACCACTTTGTCTGTCACCCGACGCATCATGGTATTGTCAGAAGATGATCCTGCTGCTGCTGCATTTTCAGTCGAAATGTCGGACATTTCCGACATCTCTTCTCGATCTAGAGTCCCAGTGGAAGTGGCGAAATCGTGGCCTTGTTCTACGGGAGTAGATTCACTCTTCAACTTTTTATTCCCATTTTGCTCCATCCCACGTTCCGCCTGGTTCTCATCCAGAACTGGGTTTGGGTGGATCTCTACTTCCAGCATTTCTCTTTTTTCTTCCGAAGTTTTATGACTCCTTGTTCCAACTATTCTGCCTGAAACTTCGCTTACTTTCTTGTTCCGAATCTTTTCGGTCTTTATCCACGAAAGGGTCGTTCATTGACTTTCTTTGTTTCTTCGGTATAAATTTCCTAGAGCTATCACTTAGTTCAGATATCCTCGAGTTGTCTAGACTTATCTTAAGTTATCGCTTCCCATAGATTTTTTTGTTTGATAACCAATAATAATAATAACTCAACACGATAATGTCCAAAACTTCAACTAACAAGGGACCACGAATCTTTTTATGTTATCACACTACAGTGTGTATACAAATTTTGAAGAGCAATTGATTACTGGTTATTGGAAATAAAGCTAACACAGACTAATGATATCAAAATATTTGAAAGATAGTGTAGTCACTACCCAAAGGAGAAATTTTTAATGAGGGATAAAACCAAAAAAGAAAGAGAACAACAAAAAAAACGTATGTGTATTGCACTTGGTCTGTCGCAATTTATTAGTCGAACTCGTATCTAAAGAAAGAGCCTTCCCTGTTTAGTGCCGCAATATAAAGACAAAACTTGAAGGCAGTTTTCTTCTCATGTGGGCGACTTTCGCACCCACCGAGATCTGTGTTAACTATCTGCCCTTGGATTGCCCGAGCTAGATCTACTAAAACTAGTAAGGCAAGCACTTTTCTCAAAATTAGTTTGGATTGTTATCCAAAAAAATCAGGATCGAAGTCTGTTTTCAATTAGACCTAGAATCGCGAATCTCCGGGTTTAGACTTGTTTTTATTTCTCTGTGGTCTTTTCAGTTTTTATAAAGGCAAGTTACCAGTTCAGTCACTGCCTGATTCCTAATATTTTCGCTTTGTAACTTACTTTTGTCTACGTATGTTCGGAAATCATATGATTGCGTTCGTTTAAAAACAATTTAATTTCCAGGACCTCCGGATTGACAAAAACAGGATCTTTCCGAATTGGGGCCCCCTGCTAATCGGCAGAAATGGGAGACCTCAGAATTGGAACTACTCCGGATTGACAAAAATAGGACCCCTCCGAACTGGAACCCCTCTGGATTGACAAAAATAGGACCCCTCCGAATTGGGCCCCTCCGGATTGACAAAAATAGGACCCCCCGAATTGGGTCCCCTCCGGATTGACAATTATAGAACCCCTCCGAATTGGGACCCTCCGGATTGGAAAAATAGCCTTTCCGGTTGGTTTAAAAACAATATCCGAGACCCTTCCGGATACGGTCTCTGAGCCTATTATGCTTAATAAACTGACTAGACAGGGTATGTTCTGGCCCTAGACCCTTCCGGATTTAGGCTAAGCTGCATCTTTAATAATTTTCCTTAGCTGTGAAGGGTCGTCTAACTAGTCTATTTTTGACCTGACTATCTTTTTCTGGGTTCCTTAGCCCTTCCTTTTTTGTCGAGAAAAGCGTAAAATTGCCTTATTCAACCGTTACTACCGTATGGTAGGGGTATAAGGACTTTCCAGAAAAGTTTTTACAAAACTTGAAGGGTCTTCTTCACAAATCAGTTTTAAAAATTTTCTCTCCGCTGCTTTCTCATAAAATGGTCACAATTTGTTTTGCGTCTGGAATCATTTCTTTAAAATTTTTAATTGAACACTTTCGCTGAACTAGAAAGCAACACTTTCGCCGCGTCTGTTCCTTTTCACAGACTAAAATAACAAACTCCATATAATCTTTCAGCCATGTTTCAGTAAGAGCTAAATTTTGCGATTTATTAATTTTTGTTTCATGAAAAAGCTCTAAATTTTCTTGATTTTGCGTTAATGAGCGAACATTTTACAACAAGTTGACACTCAATTTTACGTATCATTCTTTTCTTCTGAGCTTTTCCAATTGTTTATTAGGACAATATAGTTCTACATTATGATTTTTGATTTTTTGGCGCTCATTTTCAGAGGCAATTTTTTTAAACCTTTTATTTAAATCGAGTGATCTGATCAATAGTGTGCTGAGAATCGCAATCTGAAACCATTAAAAACTCTTTTTTGCTTCAGTCAGTTTTGTTTATAGAATTTTAGATAAATTGTTCTTTTTTTGTTAAAACAGAACTACTGAAAATGCAAACTATGGGTCTTTGTCTAGTTTAGAAAGTTCCCTATCCGGTTGCTGCTCAATCCGGTTGCACTCTTAATCCGGTCTCAACTGTAACGCAACCAGGATGTATACGTAGAATGAAACATTCAAAAATGATTTTCCATTTAAAAAACCGATTAGAATTAGATTTTTGATGGAAAATATGATGGAAGTAGAATTTGATGAAAACAAAAATCGGACTGATTCCGCTGACTGGTTTAGTGAACTACATTTTAACAATGTCTGCGCTTGAAAAAAACTGCCTGTAAAACTCCCTTAACAGTCGATTGTAAATGTGCTATTTCGTGGTTGTTTTACCTGGTTTTTCTTGGGAGAAAGAAAATAAGAAGTTGGAGATGAGAACAATTTTCAAGATTTTCTTGCAAGCAGATAATAAACGTAATTTTTACTTTAAAAGCAGCAATGTACTAGCTAATTTAAAGTAGGGGCGAAATGTATTGATGGTGAACGTATAACCAACGTGTAAAACTGTTGATGAACGTATAAATGTATAACGTATAATGTATAACGTATAAACGTGATGAACGTATAAAACTGTTCAATTAAAAGCTGTGGCGGCACAATCTTGCTATTACAAAAATGAAGCTACTATAAAGAACATAATGTTGTTGCTACTGTTCTCTGCAAAGTTTTTAATAAAAGAATTTTTTTTGTTTTTTTTTTTATTTTTCAAAAAGATAAAAATGCATTACCTGAAACCCGTGGCATTAAAAGCTTCTCAAAACATCGTGGTACACTATGGGAAAAAGAGTATGCGGTATTTACTGGGAAAGGTTTAGAATGAAAGAAGCTGCTGCAACTTTTCTTGGCATATGAAAAAAAAATTCAATTTTTTGATAATTTTTCTGTAAATTTTTAGAATACATTATTGAAACTTTATCAAATACTGAGTAAAACTATTTAAAAAAGTAGTAGTTATGACCAAAATGTATAAAAAAATGGTTCTGGAGATAGAAGTTCGGACTCAAAGATATTTTGTGGGAAGCTATTGCTGTTTTTAACAAGATTTGTAAATTGTAAAGGATAAATGTATTTTGATGGTTTCTGCTTGAATTACATTGAACAACTTTTTCGGTCCAGTCTGCTTTCATGATGATTTATAGCAGCCACAAAATTTTAAATTCAAAAATCATTTCAACGTGCGTGTGATAAGCGTAGCTCTTCAAACATTCTGTGCTCACATTCGACTCGAGTCTTTGGAACTCGGTTCTCAGCTAGAAGTCCATGTCAAATTCTCATAGTTGGCCATGTACCGAGCTTAAAGTCATCTTGGTTTATGATGGTTAAACTCTCTTAAACCTTCTTCAGAATCGCTCGAAATCAAGTTTGGACATCAGCTTGGAACAACTTTTCTTTCTCTAAAATATACCTTTTAACGTAAATTTTATCAGAGTTGAAAGTTTAATTTTCCAAATACTATGCTTCAAGCCATCGAAATTGCATACACATGATGAAAAAAGATGAAAAAAAAACAGTTGAATCTCTGTTTATTAGCTTTTTCAAATTTATTTCATTTTTGAACAACCAACAATTCTGAAAATTTGGATGGATTAGCGAGAAAGCAACTTAGGGTACAGAGTCAATGTACATTGGTATGCGGTTAAACTGCAGCCTAATAGTCATCTAAAGACATATCAAATTACAGAACCAACAAATGAATCAAAAAACAAATTTTGTTTAAAAAAATTACAATGGCTAAAAATTTTGTTTCGAACCAAAACTTTCACTGTCATAAATGTTCTCTAGAAAACTAAATAATTAGTTGAGAACAGTTTTTTGATATGTGAAACGACTCTGTTCGGACTGTCCAACAAAAGTTTTCAACAATTAGTTTTGAAAGTTTACAATCCTATGCAATTTAGTAAGCCTAAGTTTTTTCTTCCAACCACTAACAATGCTTCTCACGACTCACTGGTCAATTTTTGAGCCAAGGTTTGATGCTGATGGACACTAAGTTTGGGAGATCACACATCACAAAATCGTTTATCACTAGTCTTCAATTTTACTAAGAGGAAAAGAAATTGCTAAATTGTGTATATGACTTGACTGAAAATTGACAGCTGGCCCTTCCTTGCGAATCTCAGCTTGTTAAGTTTGAAAATTAAAAAAATCTTGTATGTAGGTTTGACTGTACTTGAATGTGTTTATACGTAAAAAGTAAAGGACATTTTTTTTGTGTGAAAATATAAATTTATCTATAAACAAAAGCATGTAAATATTTTTTTATGTATGCGTGTATGTATGTAAGTTGATATGTTTCTGTGTATGAGTATATTTTTGTCCTTGTGTGCTTGTAAAACCAAATTACTTATAACTAGAAGAATAGCTATAACTCAACTTGATTTTTTTTCTAATGTTTCTAGTTTTTCTTGAAAATTTAACAAGATACTATTTGCATAGTAAATATGTACGCATATATGCTGTGGATGTGTTGGTATTAATGGCGGTATGTATCTATGTAAAAGGTTACAGCTTTTCGCAGGTATCTATGTAATTAAGCATGTTTGTACATATTAGTCGTGTGTTTTCGTTTGAGTATTTATAAATTTATGTATGTTTGTATGATTTTAAATAAGTAAGAACACTTGACTGCATGTCCGCTTGACTGAGTGAACTAATGTAAAATTGTTTCAAAAATTTTACGAGTTATTGATTGAAGTTGTATGTCTGTTTAAAAGGAAAGTGTGCACACATGCTTGTAAAGTACGATCCATGTCTGTTTGTAGGCAAGTATTTGTGCATATTCGTATGTGAGTATGAAAGGCTTGTATATATGGTTGTATGTATATACGTATGAACGCCAGTCTGATTCTTTTTGTCTGAATGCGTGTATATATTCATCTTGAAAGTGTGAGGTGAATGTAAGTTGGTTTGTATGTTTACATGTGTTGTATATTATAGGTCACTGGAAATAATAAGTAAAATTTTTGCAATTGTGTCAGCAAAGTTTCTCGTAAATTTGATTGCAGGTTTAAAAGTATGTAAGCAAGTATCTAAAAATTATTTTCTGTTTGTTTGTATGCCTTTACTTATGTATGTATAGTAATTTGTTTGCATTCTATTTATGTATAAGTGTATGTATGTTTGTATGAATGTATGGTCTTATGTATATATGTCGCTATCTATGTATGTATCGAAGTATTTATATATGTATATATTTATGATATGTATGTATGTATGTATATATGTATGTATGTATGTATGTATGCATGCATGCATGTATGTATGTATATATGTATGTATGTATGTATGTATGTATGTATGTATGTATGTATGTATGTATGTATGTATGTATGTATGTATGTATGTATGTATGTTTGTATGAATGTCTTTAAGAAAGACTTTATATGTGTATTTTTGTTTATAAGTAGGTATGTATGTTTGTTATTATGTATGTATGTGTGTTTGTATGTATGTTTAAACGTATGTGTTTAAAAAGAGTTGTATCTACGTATTTTCGTATGTAAGTTTATATTGATTTCTTTGAATAAGACTTCATTTTTGAATGAATGCATATCTGTATGTTTTTTGTATGTATGTAGTAACTTTGTATATTTGTTTGTATGGTTGTCTATTTATACTTGTTTATATAAGTACCTATTTATATTTGTTTGTATGAGTGTAAGTATGTATATATGTATCTATGTATGCATTTATACATGTATGTGTTATGTATGTTTTTTTTGTTTATGTATAGATGCATGTATGTTTGTATTCAGTATGTGTGTATGTATTTGCTTTTGTATGTAAGTCTGTATGAATATCCTTAGGTAAGTATTTATATGTGTATGTCTAAACTTATGTATAAAAGAAAACATGTATGACTATTTTTGTTAGTATACAAGTACGTTTGCAACTTCTGCAAGTGCAATTATGTTTTTGTGTGTATACAAGTATGCAGCTTTATATGTTTAGTGGGTGTATGTATGTTTGGGTATAGGTGTAATCGTTTATTGTATTTTATTTAGATGTATATATGTAACTCACACCAAATCTTTCTTATCTCTCTTCTTAAGTTTCTAAAATATTCTGGAATAATCAACCAGATACTATAATCATAGTCTTTTTCATTTTCTTCAATTGCAAACTAATTTGATTAATTTTTCGAAATTTTCCTTGAAAAATTTGATCTTCCAGGTATCTTTATTTCGAACAAAACATTTTCAAACAGTGGCATAAGCAGCATCGATTTTAATTTCAATTTATCTGCAGTTAATGACCTTGAAAAAAGTACTAAATTAGAAACATGAAAGATCAGTTTTCAAGTTTTTACAAAAATTTGTCGATGGGAGCAGCAAACAACAATTTCAATTGGAAGTTTTTGATGAACTTTGCGCATAGAGATAATGATTACGATGACCAAATCATCAGAAGAAAATTATGGTTTCTCGAGGAGAATCATTGACCGTGCAGATAAACACGATCGATAGAAGAATGGTAGAAAATGACATGCTGCTGGTAGAGGTGAAGACGGTAAGCGACCAAAGTTAATCGAAAGGTTTTGTACAATTGAAGGATGATTGATCAATCTCTAAAAGTCACAAATTGTAAATGGTTTTTATCTGAAAAAACATAATATTGAATCGAACTTATAAACCGAAATAAGTGTAGCAATTCTGTAATCAGATAAACAGTCAGTAGACACTTTTTTAAAATTCAAGACTTATTTAGTTGATAGAGCTTTTTATGATAATGGCTCAAAATGCTTACGCTTTTTGTCTTCTTGTATCGGGACTCAAAAATTTTAATTGCTCAAATTAAAATTTCCAAACAAAATTAGTGCAAGAAATTATAACATTTTTTTTCTTAATTTAAATATGTCTTTGTTAGTCGTTCCAGCTTAAGATAACACAAGGTAATTGACGTTTATTGAAACGCATTGAAAATATAAAATGGTACTTACATTATTTCGGAAACTGCTGTAGCCAAATTAGTCTGAAATTAATGTTTAGTGTGAAACAGCTGTCATTCTGATGGAACCCAAAGATCCAGGTAGAGTGTTGATGATAAAGTTTGTTTTTATATCTCACAATTTCAAACAACTAACGGTTTTTCGATACGAAATGAGAGGACATAGCATGCTGCTAACTGTTTCGATCCTACTAGTGATCAGAGCGTGAATATGAAAGATTGTATCACCTCAAACATTATTGAAAGAAAGGTTGTACTCTTAATAACACAATTTGTTGTAGATAAGTAAAAAAAAAGCCAACAAAGTAAAATGGGTCAAAAAGCCACCGTAATTTGAAAGGCAATAGCGTGATCAAGAAAACAGTCAAAAGTTCAGATTTATATTTTAAAACTCAAAATTTAATTTAAGTTCTGTCTTTCTCGATTGAATTTGCTCTAATTTGGATAACTGCTTTCCTTAAAAGTTGCA